GTTTCTCACCCTGGACACTCAATATAATATGACTTTCTTACGAGCATAATTAAATATCAGAAAGGTGCATCATGAGCTGATTTTAGGGGGCTGAATTACTAAAGTAACAAAGGATCTCACCATTGAACAATTTATCTCTAATAGACCAAAGACAAGACCATTTCAGCAAATCATCAGGGGCCTATAGACATTTAAAGAGCAAAATTATTACTACACACAATTCTCAGGGAGCAGGCCTTTGGGAGGATGGGGATTTTCATGGTTATAGTGATTGTTTCCCAATCTCTATATTTCCCTCCTCCACTGTGCATTAATTGTGTGGTTTGGTGAGGGATCAGGAAGGACTGACTACTCCCTACTCTCAGCTCTATGAATGGGGTATAATACTGCCCCTGCCCCTCATTCCATAGTGATTGGTTCAGGCAACTCAGGTCTAAGCATGACATTACTTGGCCACAGGATTTGATCATGAATTGTCAGCTGATTCAGTTTAAACCAATGATACAAGAAGATGCAAGGCAGATTTAAGACAAGAAATGCTACAAACATTTTACTGTCATGTGGGAAGCAGAAAGGAGAGAGAAAAAGAAATTAGGTGTTTGATAAAATTTTTGAACTAGAGTGTAATCAATTATCAGTCTACTCCTACTTCTGATCCTTCCAGTTATGTAAGCCAATGCACCTCTCTTACGGTTTGTACCAGTTTTAGTGGGTTTTGTCCTACCTTAGTATGAAGCATCCTAATTGATATAGTAACTGGACAAATCAGGAGCATGGTCGCTAGCCCTAGAATAATTAAAGGAGCCAGTGTGAAGTGCTTAGTCCAGAGAGAAAAGGTTGGGAAAGGGGTACTAAAAGTGAAAGATCATCTCCAAGTAACTGTGCCCCAAAACAGCTTCTATGGATGTTTTTAAGGCAAAAAATGAGTTCCAAACATTACCATCTATAAAAAGCAAGCCAATATGAATAAAATTTGAAATAAGCAATTGCTTCCATGGCTACTGTTTACTCAGTGTGACTGTCTCCTCCTGGAAGTTGCCATGGATCCATTTCTGGGCCAATTAAACCCAAGTCCATAAGGTTTCTCTTCTGACCCCTGCATATACTCCCACCAGAAGCAGTTCCAACAAGTCTCATGCCTGGAATTTAAGCTCCTCAGGGATATGGATTTATTTGATACCCACATAGAAGATTTCTACAGAGGTTTCTTGAGGGAGAGGTATAATAAAGATGAAATGATAGAGAATTAAGATGGAGGACCCAAGCTTTCTTAGATGTCACCCCCAACCTAAGTCTCCAGATAAGACTGGACTCTATTCTTTCCAAGGAATCCAGGAATGGGAGTGCAAGAGACAACCACAAAGAATCAGTAGTACCTAGATTCTTTCCTTGATTAGTGTGTGGGCTGATATTTGGACAGTTTTTCTGACCCTAAAATAATTCAGCCTTGTGGAATCATAGAATCACAGAACAGGAGAGCAGGAAGGGTCCTTAGAAAACATCCTGTTATACCTTCTCTTCTTAATGGCTTTGGATTGTATCTGGGACAAGGGAAGCACCTTATTTCAGATATTTAAACACCTTCCTCTGTGCTGCCATGGTACCTGCTGCTTACTGTTTTCACAGCACTTACCATGAGTTGCATTTTCATTGCCAGTGAATACATCTGCTCTTCCTCTAAACTTGAAATCCATTGGGAGCAGAAACTGTCTTGCTCCTTTATTCACTGGTGTCTAGCAGAGTCTATCATAAAGCAGGTGGTCAGATGTGTGTTGAAGAAATCAGAGTTTCAAATGAAACAGTGAGATTATCTTTCCATTAAGCAAAGGATATACAGGCATAACCTCATTTTATTGTCCTTCGCTTTATTGTGCTTCATAAATGTTGTGTGTTTTACAAATTGAAGACAAGACCCTCCACCAGCAAAAAAGATTATGACTCACTTTTTTGTGGTAGTCTGGAACTAAACCTGCAATATATTTGAGGTATGCCTGTAGTATCTTGCTTTCATTACCTTTAAGAGGATAGTAGTTTCCCCTCCAACAAATCAGATGATTTCTACCTCTATTTTGCTTATTTGCAAAGTATCAAATTGACAAGTATGAGGCTCAATGTATGGTATAGATCCCCTACCCAAGCTTCAAAAGCTGACATTTCTTTCTGTTTATACAAGTGCCCTTATCCCAAGCCTGAAACATACGGAGACCTCATGAAGAGAAGTACTATTTTCTCTTTTATATTATAAATCTTAAAACTTCATATTTTTTTGCTGCCTCAACATCCCCACAAATAGGCTGTGAGCACCTCACCCTGGTGACCAGGTACAACTTTGTGATAAGGCTGGCCCCTGCTACAAGATCCCCTTCTTGCCTTCCCCTGACTGGGATCTAATGACATTCAAATGTACCAATGAAATCCTCTCATGCCTTTTGCTTCTGTACTCTATCCTGATCCCAATAGATATTTGCCCATGGGGTACTCTTTCCTCTCCTCCCCTCTCCTCTCCTCTCCTCTCCTCTCCTCTCCTCTCCTCTCCTCTCCTCTCCTCTCCTCTCCTCTCCTCTCCTCTCCTTTCCTCTCTTCTCCTCTCCTCTCTCCTCTCCTTCCGTTTCCTTCTTCTTCTTCTTCTTCTTCTTCTTCTTCTTCTTCTTCTTCTTCTTCTTCTTCTTCTTCTTCTTCTTCTTTTCTCTCTCTCTCTCTCTCTCTCTCTCTCTCTCTCTCTCTCTCTCTCCCCCTCTCTCTCTCATCAATTAAAACCAAACAAATAAAAAAGAATGATTTAAAAAGTAAATAAATAAAACAAAATGCAAATATATTACCTAAAAGTACAGATTCTCAGAAACATCGTACAGACCATCAAACCTCAGAGGAAAGGTAGGGGAGGATGGAAGGGGTAAGAGATCAACCAAAGGACTTGTATGCAATGGACACAGACAATAGTGGGGGTGAGTGCTGGTTGGAAGAGGTCAATGGGGGAAGGGAGGAGACATATGCAATACTTTCAACAATAAAGAATTTTAAAAAAATAAAAAATTAAAGTTCAGGTTCTCTAAATGTGTCATTTTTAATATTAAATTGTCACTGTCCATGGTTAGAACCTTAGTAAAGATTTATCTACTAGATTCTCTACTATCTCCTGGGGCTCTTGGGAAGCTTCAATGGGAAGATTTTGATGTGGAACACTAGTAAAGATTGGTAGCAGAGTCTGAGGTTTGGGTGCTGGTGGAGAAAGAGGAGGCTGACAGCATGAGGAACTTTTGGGGAGAAAAGATCACTTTTAAAAGGTGAGAATAAGGGAAGGAAGTTGGGAAATTAACATTTATTGATTCTTCTGTGAGTCAGGCACTGAATTAGATGCTTTCACATCTACTATCTTACTTAATTCTTAATTATTTTATAGGGAAAGAAATATTAATACTCCCATATTGCAGATGAGAAAACTGGGGTTCAGATCAAGAAAGTCACTCAAGGTTACACTCTGCCTATATGTGATAGAACATAGATCTGAACTTGAACCTGTTTCCTAAGTCTATGTTCCTGAACCATGATATCTCACTCCTCACATTTGTCAAGGGGTGACCAACCTATTCTCTGCTACCCTGTTTGCCCCAATGCTCCAACCATTTGTAAGTTCAGTCTTCTATGACTCTCAGGTTTCTCCCTCATTCCTAGCTATGGACTAGCAAATGGAGACAAGATTTCTATGCGTGATGAGGTAGGAAGAGATTTTGCATTATCAAATGGATAGAAAATTTGGAAGAGCCTAGAACCATTTTTCTAGTTGCCCAAGAATTTGGAAACTTTCTGCTCCAGACTCCAACCTATGTTATGCCAAATCCAAAATTGCGCCCCTGGGCCCTGTCCCATACCTCCTGCCCCATGTATTCCAGTTTGCTGTACACTGGCAGCAGGTGCATGTAAACCAAGAGGAGAGGATATGAAAAGGAGAATAGCTGGTATGGGGAGAGATTAAAACTGTCACTTCCAGAATAGCTGATGTAGGAGTGAAAGACTTGGAAGACAAAAAGGCTGCTTTTTTCTCACCACTGGAGAAAGGGGCTAGGGAGAGGAGTCTATAGACCAAGAGGTTCATCTACAAGATTATAGAGGGAACTACCCCCCAACTGAGATCCAGCTGCACTGCCTGACTTGGAAGGGTCTTTCCTGCCCTAGAGCGGAGAGTAAAAGAAGAGCGGGAGCGGGGAGGGGGGAGGGATTTATAGCCTCTGGAGTCATTAGTCAGGGCCTATGTTCAGAAGCAACACCAAGGAAACAAGGCAGCTAAAGACAGTTTTCTTAACCTTAAGTTTCAATCCCTACGGGAGGGATCCCAGCTCATTCCCACATCTTTCTCCTCCTTCGTCAATGGGATTGAGCGTCCTTTTCATTAACCTTTTAGTTACCACATCCGGGCACATACTTTTCTATGTCCTCTAAAGCAGTCATCCCCACACTGCCCATCACTGCCCCCTTCCGCCCCCAAGGCTGGCTCTGCACTCGGAAGCGGAGGCACTGGCCTCACAAGCTGTGGGCGTTGGGGCTGATCACTAGCCCTGGGATCTCTGCTGTAAAAAATTGAGCGGTAGGGACCGGGCATGCGCAGCATCTTTGGGCGCATTGTGATGGGAACTGCTTCTCCAAATCTTACAAAGACTCCCGAGTAACCACTAACCGCACCCCGGACCCCCTTCTTTAAGACACAAGTACAAACGCAGAGACAATGCAGCTTTTCCATCTTCCTTTCTTTTTTAAAGGGCCAGTTTGCAGCTTGATTGGCTGGTCCACAGGGGGACTAGTGTATTTCTATTGATCCCATCTCCCATGTTGACAAACGCCAACGCCAAGGCTTTGCAGTCCGGGGCTGCAGTTTGCAGTAGAGCTAAGCGGTGTGCGGCTTTAATTCCACGTCAGATCAACTTTGATCGATATCCCCCTACCGGCCCAATTGGAAGAGCCCAATTCACAGGCGCTGAGCCTTTTCGCTCTTTCCTTCTTTTTTCCCCTCTTTACACCCACCATCTTCTGGGGGAGAAAAGTCTTGGATTTTCTTTATAATTTTTTTTTCTGTCTCTCTCTTTTGTTTGGTTTTTGTTTTTCGGTGTTTTGCCTTTTTTTGTTTTGGGTTGTGTTTTAGGTTATTCTCTCCTCTCTCTCTCTCTCTCTCTCTCTCTCTCTCTCTCTCTCTCTCTCTCTCCTCAGTGATAGGGAGAAAGATCTCTTTGGCTAACCGAGCTTGCAGACAGTGAACCCGCCTTCCACGTTGGTGTGAAGACAGAAGTGAGGTGGGGGGCAGGGAGGGGATGTGAGAGAGTCTAAGAGCGAGAGGGATCAGAGAGAGAGAAAGAGAGAGAGAGAGAGGAGGAGGAGGCGGCGGAGGAGGAGGACTGGTGTAGGGTGGAAAGGAAGAGTGAGCGCGAGCAAGTTGAAGGGAGGGGGTGTAAGAGCCAGCGAATTCTTTTTCTTTTTCTGTTATTATTTTGACGACTCCCGAGTTGCGCCCATGCTCTTGTCAGCTTCGTTTTAGGCGTAGCATGGCCAGGCAGAAGAAAATGGGGCAAAGCATGCTCCAGGCGGTCTTCTTTTTAGTCCTGGGGCTTTTGGGTCATTCTCACGGAGGATTCCCCAACACCATCAGCATAGGTAAGCGCTAGCGAGCCAGCCTGTCCGGCTGGGTTCTCCTGCACCGGAGACCACTGCCCTGGCATGGCTACTGCGGCCGCGGGTCCCAGTCCTGCACCGCCTGGGGAGGGGGACTGGGGACAGGGACCGGGACCGGGCAGGAATCCCGGAGATTTGAGCCCCAGAGAGCTGGCGGGTCTGGGGAGCATCAGGCACCAGAGAGGGGTCTCCTGGGGCTGGGGTGGGGAGTGGACTGCTGGGTTTTCGGAGATATGGGGAACAGGGGGAAGTATGCTGGATGCTGCAAAGGGGCAAAGAGTCGCGGTTTTTAGGCTCGCTGCTCTGGACTTTGCCATGGCGTGCGTGCTGCCGCTGGAAGTTGTCCCAGGGTGATGCCGCCTGTCGGGCCGCGCCAGGGCACGTTACCCAGCTCAGGGCGCCCTGTCCGGCATCTCGGTTCACCCCAGACAGGCCAGTGCTGGGAAAGGTGGAAGCCCATTCCGGATCCCCCACACCCGGGCAGCAATCGGAGGAGTCGGGGTAGGTGGAGGATGCGATGCGGTAGGAGGCAGGGGTGAAACAAGGAACTGAGTGAGGAAGCAGCGAAGTAAGGCAGACCAGGAATTCATGAATTGCCCCTGTGTCTGTCTGGAGCCCAGTTTCCGGACGCTGGGAGGGAGTTTTCTCATCTTCTGTCTGTATTTACAAGTCAAAAAGTTGAAATTGTTGTCATTACGGAGCCAAACCCTTATATTGTAATGGTGGGCATGGGTGGCAATGGGGAACAGGATGGGGGCACCAGGGAGAAAGAAATTGTTTTTCTTCTCAACCTTTCCCTTTATGCCAGATAAACATTAACTAGCTTGTGGAGATGTGCGTTGGGGAGGAGGGGGCAATGGAGAGGAAGCTACTGCCTGAGAAACAGCCAAGTCCCACTCTTGGTACCATGTCCTACCCCAAAGGAGCCCCCTCTTCCCTCTTTCCCCTTTCCCCCTTCTCTCCAGCCTCTCCTACTCCTCTTCAGTCTAGAGGAAAACCAGGTTTCTCTTGGCCAAAATTTGAGTTCACAAGAGTCTTGAAAGACACACTGGTTGAAAATCAATTATCATCGTACCCCCATACCATTGAGAGGGATCTCCTATCTGCAGTGCTCTCTAATTTCTAACCTGTCCTGGGCGGGGGGGTAGGACACAAGCCAAATCTCGGTTCCCTTTGCTTATAGGTGGACTTTTCATGAGAAATACGGTGCAGGAGCACAGCGCTTTCCGCTTTGCCGTGCAGTTATACAACACCAACCAGAACACCACGGAGAAGCCCTTCCATTTGAATTACCACGTAGATCACTTGGATTCCTCCAATAGTTTTTCTGTGACTAATGCTTGTAAGTAGATTTGCTTTTCCTCCCTTTGGGACCTTTGGGACCTCACTTGCATTTTGCTTGTGGGACTTGGGGTCTGCATATGTGCTGGGGAAGGGTGATTGCCTCAATAGACATTTTAGGGGCTCTAGTCAATCAAGGTTTCATGCAGCATAAACCAACTCCAGAGGATCTTGCTGAGGGAGGGACTTAAAACAGTGCACAAAACTCTCTCCTGAATCATGTTTGATGCAAAAGTTTCATTTTCTTCGTGCTAAACCAGCAATTCCTCCCCCACATCTTTTTTTTTTTTTTGGCAGAAAAAAAAGGAAAGAAAAAATAGCATGGTTGTTCAGGGAAATTTCTTTAGATGGGATTAAAAAAAGAAGCCTCTTGATTGAGTCAATTCAGGATTTACATTACTTGACTGTTAAAGCTAGCGCCTGGCTGTAGAAATTAGCTGAATTTGACAATTGCCTAATAAATAGGAGCCAAATATGGGAAATTCTGCAAACAAGTGACCTTGAAGGACAGGTCAGGCTTAGTTCCCTGGCCTTTTTCTATCCTAGAATATCACCTTTCTTACCTAGAGAATTCTGATAGGAACTGATAAGACTACAAACTGATTACAAGTGATGAACACCTGGAAAACTGAGGGAAAGGAGAGGACAGAGCTCAGGTGACTGTTTGGAAAGCTGCTTCTTTTTTTTCTCCCCTAGTGTTGTTCACCCCGACACCTCATTGTTAAGGACAACACATTTCTTAACTTAAAGCAAAAGGTGGAGAGGGGAGTCTTGCAGCAGGCAAATAATATAAAAAAGGAGGAATTTCATGAGCCCCAAAGCTATTTCTGAAATGCCTGTTTGTGCCATGGTAAATGTTCCTCTAGAAAGGGGACATTTTGAGGAGTAAAACCAAGGGAACCCAAATGACAGCCTGTTGGACACAGGTTTTTCTTGAATGGAATGGTTTATGAAAAAGACTGATAATTCTTTATCTAAGCTTATTGCACTAAAAGTTTTTACAACAATGAGGCTGATAATGACATAAATATGTTTTTGCTTTTGTGGCTTGTGCAGTTTGGAATTTTTTTTTTCTGGCTTTCATTCAAGGGAGAAGTTATATTTATGTTCTGTTGTGTGAAAATTTATATATGACTGAGTTCAAATTCTTCTGCCTCAAAGGATATGTGATTTCCAAAAACTGTTGAGTCTCCAAGAGCACAGGTTCCTTGGACTTTTAAGACTCAGGCCAAGAGGATGGGGGTGAAGCACATTGCAAGAAATGTGACATTATTCACTTTAAGAAAATTTTAACTGAAGGTACAGGTCCTTATATGAACATTTTCTGTGATACTCTGTATTTGACATTCTTTGGCTTTTCGACATTGACAAAAATAGGAACTTATTAATTCCAGCTAAGTGTGAAAGTTACAAAATGTCTGTCTATATTTTGCATCTTATTTCCGTAATCCCAGCCTGTCTCTACAGCACTTACAACACACAACTGACTCTTAATCCTGCAGCACTGTGATCTTATCAAGAGGCTGAAGCTCAAATGCAGCTTCCTAAGTATCAATTAGAACAGATTTAAAACCAAATACTTGAAATCACCAGGATTTTTTATTATTAATAACGAATAACATTTGAACTCACTTTAGTGTCTTCCCACTGATGAGGACTGGAATAATAATGCCAATTGACTTCTCAGAAATTATTGATTTCCAAGGTTTTTAATTCTCTGTTGTTGTTGTTTTTAATGCTCAAATCAGATTGACACCAGCCAGTGCAGGAACCCCACTCAAAAAGCAACCAGGAAGTGATCCTTGCCTTGTGAAAAGCTCAGGTTTAAGAACAGGCAATAAGTCAGCTTTGATGTTCAATTGCCTTAATGCCTTACCTCTAAGGGCAAGGAAAATAAATTGGTCAAACTTTCCCCTCCCCCCCCCCCCACACACCCTAAATCCACAGAACTTCTGCTAACAAGCTTACAAGGCTGGGTTATGGTTTGGGGCTTGAAAGTATGAGATAAGAGGTATGGATCACTGGGCAACAAGACAAAACAAAAAGGTGACCTTGCCCTCAGTTATGCCAGATACACACATATGCATACACTGACACACACAGGAGAAATATCCAAAAACCAGTGATGTGTATGTACCCAGCTGCCTGTTGCACTCTCTGGCTTTACAGCTCAGAAGACAGGGGAGGAAAGCTTTCATCTTCTCTGGTCCCTGAAACAGTCCTCTCTGAATGTCACAATCATTGAATGGGGGCCAGATCTCAAAGCTGTCTCCTGGCAGCTGCTGCCTAGAAGCTTAGTATAAGAAAGATGACTAGTCCAACCACAGTCTGATAGTCTCTGAATGCAGAAAACAATCATTTCACAAGGCCAGGAAAGCCCTGGAAGTATATTTCATATATTCCCTTGGTCTTGATTGTTCTTTTTCTAATGGAAGTAAAGATCACATATATCAGGTGTCAGAATACAATACTAGTTCAGTACTGGAGTTTGGCAGGTGATCCCAGGTTCCATTCGTCCAATTGATCTCAATATTTCACAGAGAAACGACCCCTAGATCCTCTGGTCTGCCCCTCCCTGGAGACCTAGGGAGGATTTGAGGAAATCCCAGTTAAGTACAAATCTGGTCACCCACCTCTCCTATCTGATTCAATGTGGAATGGGATGGCAAAAATTAAAGAAACTTTTCCCTGTTCTCATTCAGAATTCTTAGTTGCAGTTTCCCCTTGCACTAAAATTGATTTTCCCATGATTTTTCCTGCGCCCTCAATCTTGAGACAGACATACATTTTTTAGGGCATAGTAACAAATACCCAAAAAATAAACAAAGGTTAATGCCTTCTGCATGCCACTGCTCTCTGCACTCCCTCTGCAATGTAATCTGGAGGTTTCATTGCAAGGAATCCCAGGCATCAGTTATTTAAAGACACTTCTTCACCAGCAACCATTTTATTTTATTTTATATTTTATTTTATTTTATTTTTGCACAACCCTTGAGAGGTTTGCTTAAGACAGACTCAAATTTCATTCTGTGTCTTAAGAAGACAATAAAAGCTTCTCTAGCTTTGAAAGGTGGTTCATTTGGGATCTCAGCTCAGAGGTGAATTGCAGTTTATCAAAGAGACTCATCTGATTTGGAGCCCATGTTTCCATTTCATAGGGATTAATTGAGTTTGCTACCATACTTTTCAGTTTGGCCAGATAACCCCAGAAAGAGGGATGGTGTGGATATTATGATTTCAAGATACATACATTCATACACATACAGAGACACTCAAACACACAAAATTAGTATATATGAAAAGAGATGTACACACTTTTTAAGTTACATGTTCGTTCAAAAAAAAAGGAGACATATGTAATACACTTTGTAATACTTTAAGCAATAAAACAAAATTTAAAAAACGAAACAAAACAAAAAACACCAAACAGATTTGATCATCCTAGGGCTTTGCAAGATGTGAAAATACCAAGGGACTTCGGGGTCCTTTGGAGTGGCTTGATTCCTCAGGAAATGCCTTCAATTCCCTTGAAGTCCCCTCCTGTGTCTTGCTGCTGTGCACTTGTAGTGCACTCCACACTACATCACCCCAGTCTCTGCAGTGTCAGCTCATTAGCACACAGATCTCATATTCCCTCTCCGCACTGTCATTGCAAAAATTGCTGTTGTACACCTTTACAGCCAACAAATGTGCTCGTGGATTACGCACTGTTTGCAAGAAGCAAGGAAAAGGCAAATGTAACCTTAAAGGTTATTCACCAGGGAATTGTGCTCTAAATGCATTGGCTTAAATAAAAATCTGTTGATGGAGGTGCAAGTGAAGGTGGGACTGAGAGTGAGACTTGGGAGTGTAGACTCTAATGGAGCCCCAGGCAAAATCCCTTTTGCTGGCTAACTCTAACTCATCAGCTGCATTATTTTATTTTATTTTTTGTCTGAGCCATTTGAAATGTACCTGCTAACTGAGAGCTTCTTTCATAACTGAGTGCATTTTGCTACCAAATGTACTTAGCCAAGACAGGTTTCTGTCTCCTGCCCACAGAGTCACAATCTAATTATCTAATTATTCTAATTGCTAAGATCCATTTAACTGTTTAAGTCCATTTGGGAAGGAAATGTCTCCCCTTATCGTATTCTCTGCTCTTTGGTGCGTTTTGTTTTGTTTTCCTGTTTGTCCTTTTCATGTAATCTTTGGAACCACAGTGAAGACACACAGTACCACGGCTCTTGCCCTCAAACAGATCTTCACATACTAACCAAAGTCAACTGCTCCAGCTCCACCTCCCATACCCAATCCCCCATCTTTGTGCCCTTGCTGCTCTCCATCTCTCCTCTGTCTGCTGGCCAGGCTTCAATAAGCTCACTGGCTTAGCTCACTTCTCAGCCCCTCTGGCCAGCTGGCATAGCCCACTGAAGCACCAAGAGGTCGCCTCAGTGGTGCCAGTCAAAAATATAATTCACCTTCTCACAAGGTTTATTATGGATTTTAAAAATCTAATTTTTATGTGTAGAGGAGGGAGGAAGGTGATGCTGTTCATTTGGGCCATAAAAATAGATGGCAATCAGCAGGTTGTAAAGGTGAGTTTCCAGCAAAGTGTATTACCTCCCCCAGAAGGCAGTTTCCTGTTGATCTTTTAAGTGGGATGGGGGAGCCTGGAAGGGTTTGAGGGGAAGGAACAAAGAACACTATTTTGTTCTCTATCTATGCATACTGCAAAATGAGCCATGTTTTGTTTTGTTTAGTTGTTTGTTTGTTTCATCTCAGCAATTTTAACCTTTTTCCTTAAAATAAAACTAATTTTCCACATCCCCCACTTCTGAATTCATCAGAGGCAGTTTCCTTAATGCTGCATTTCTCTCCCTACCCCCAATATTAAATGAGAATAAAGGGGGCTGGTTGAAAATTTTATCATAAGTTTTTGCCTCCTGATATATTTTTAAATTTCATTATTATGGATAGTCAGAGGTGATAGGCTGGTTTCATTTTAACAGATTAAAAAAT